GCGGCCGCCGAGAGGACTCGGGAGCGGGGCCGGGCCGCCCGCGCTGCGACCCCCCATCTCTCTCTCTCTTCCCGGCTCGGACAAGTGGGCTCGGCGCCTCCGCAGTGGGGGTCCGTGCACCCGGGCGCTGGGGACCTGCACAGCCGGACCACGCTGGACATCGGTGCGGACTTTCGTCGCCTCCGGGGAGTCTGTCCCGGCTCAGCAATTATCCTGTGTCCCCGGGGTGTAGTCTCCGTCCCCGGGTGGGGCGCTCCCTGTATGGATGCTGGCGATCTCGTGCAGGTGGGCTTTTCATCCATCCATACCTGCGTCAGGGGTCGCCTGGGTTCGATTTGGACTCGGCTTGAAAACTAACTGGGTCTTGCGTAGAGTCACCGAGGCATTAGCGTTCCTCGAAGGGTCTTGACTCACTTGAAAGCTGAAACTGTTGAAGTCTCTTCTCGAAAAAAAAAAAAAAAAAAAAAAGATTGGGGGAGAATTGGAAATTCAGATGAGTTTTCCCGAGTTCTTGCTGACGTCAAAAAAAAAAAAAAAACACCAAAATGATGCTATTCTCTAATCAGCCTTCCCGATTTTCCTGTGCTCAACCGAAGAAGTCACAGTTGTAAGAGTTCAATCGGGACATTGCACAAGTTGACTGCAAAGGGCTGGAGAATGGTACACTTTTCTACCCCACATTTGTTTACTTTCATACCCGGAACTGTCATTTCTTGAGCTTAAAAAAATGTCCTCAGTTTCTCCTCAGAGGTTCTTTGTATAGTCCAGCTATTGTTGCAACGCCCGGGAGGTTCCCACAGCTGGGCAGAGGTGTGTGTTTGTTGATTTATACGTTTGAAGTGTTTCGAATAAACTGAGAATTTGCTAGACAAGAAAATCGTATAGGTACTATCAGTAAACAAAGTGTAGATGATAAACTACCAGTGAAAGTTTTGCAGGAAATAACGGAGATATTTTCCACTTCCATTGAGTTTTAAATTATAATCAGAAAGTTTGTTTGTTGCAAATGACATGTGTTACCGAAGTGTCAAGTATATGTAAGTCATTTTCATCAAACCAGTGACATTATTTGCTCTTCTTATATTATGCTTATATTAGGATCTATACTGGTTGGATTTGTTTTTGTTTTTGTTTTTGTTTTGGGGTCTGGTCTGTGTCTGTCTGTCACTTTTTTGTATTTATGTCATTCTCTACCACCAGAAGAGAAATTAATATCATGAGTAAGTTTGAAGTGACAAGTTCCATGAACTGTCTTATGCAAAGGAAAAATTATTTCATTAAAAAGATTTCTCTGTAATGCTAGAGGTTCACATTGGGTGTCTTAGATTTGTCTTCACATTATTACTATTATTATTGTTATTATTACTAATTTATTTCTTGATACAGGGTGTCTCTGAGCCTGGAGCTTGGAGTTTTGGCTGGACTGTCTGGCCAGCAAGTCCCAGGGGTCTTCCTGTGTTTGCTCCATGCCCTCCAATTTTGGTCCAAGTGTTATAGATACATGCTGCAGACCTGGTTTTTAATGTGGGTGCTGTGGATTCCAATTCAGGTCCTCATGCTCGCTCAGCAAGCACTTTACTTGTGAGCTGTCTCCCCAGCCCCCCAAATCTATGTCAAGGTTATTGATACTGAACAGGTAAAGAGGGGTGTTTTTTAAGTTTGTGGGGAAAATATGAGTAAAGCTAAGTTGTACAGTTTTTAGATTTGGATAGAAGCGGTGGCCTCTTATATACCTGTGTTGAAGTACTCAACTGTTCAGAGCCTAAGATTGGGATGTTGAAATTCGAGTCTGGAAAATTAGTCAAGTTAGATTTGGTTACGGATTTGTACTCTGGATATAATGTATTTTGAAGGGAAAATTATGGGAGTTATAAAAAGCAAAAAAGGAAATTGGTGAAAATCAGATACTTTCAAGCATTGTTAATTTTAACTATTGCTCAAGACAATTCAAATGATATTGAGCATTTTCTGTGTGTCAGGCTCTTTTAGGGAACCATGTAGAGGCAAATAAAGGTGAAGCCATTCTAACTGAAGATTTATGTTTTGACAGTTTTCCAAGGTGTGTTGAAATCATGAATTGAATTGTACTGTCTAGGAATACCAAACCTCCTTTGATTGGGACTTAATTTGGAGGGAGGTGTGGAGTGCTTCATGAAAAATACTGTTCCAGGCACTCTAAGTCACAAAGATTAAGGCTGGTCTTTAGAAATTTGAATCTAGTATGGGATGTATATCTGTCCACAAGCTTATAGTATAAGTAAATATCTGGCTGGATGTGGTGGCCATGCATTGGGAGGCAAAGGAAGCATAGGCCAAATGATGTTAAGCTGCTAGCCAGAGTGACCCTGTTCACAACAAACGAAGACCCTCTGAAAACAAAAAAGAGATGTATGTAAACACTTCACCACATGGGTGTGTTTATCTAAAGTTTGAAGTTGTACAAAAGGAAAATGTTTAGCCTAAGTCATGGAAAATTGTAGAGACATGGTAACATTCAAGGGTGGGTCAACGCTGTTATTTATTGGGCACTTAGTTCTATTGTTATGTTATCTCAGCAACGTAGAAGCTTCTTTCTGTTGAGACTCTCAGGGTCTGACATCTTTCGGAATAGTCCAGATACTGAATCTCAGATATTTTCAGTAACTTCCCCTAGATTTGAAGCCAGATCTGCCTTGTGGGAAAGTTGATATTTCCCAATAAATTTGTACTCTTTTTATTTATTTGGTTTAATTTTTGAGACAGGGGTCTCCTGTGTCTTTGTAGGCCTGAGGCTCACTTTTCTGTTAAGTATGACTTTTAACTTCTGATCCGAAGTCTCCACCTCCTCTGTGCCTAGGATTGCAGGCATGTTCCACTGTACCCTGCTCTTAAACTAGCAATCTTAAATTAGCTGGTGACTGTTAGTTAAACTCTTCTAAAACAAAGATTCAGGAGTTAGTATTTGGTGAATAAAGGCCTTTCAAATTAAGAGATGAGAAGGTTCATGAGTAGAGAAAAGTGAGTGTACCAGACGAACTGGCTGGTTTATTTTGGAATGAGAGATGAAATTTGAATACAAGTTGAGGGTGGATTGTGGAGCATGTTTACATGCTGTATTTAGAAGTTCAGCATTTGGAAGAAAACCAAATGTGTACCTTGTGATGGTTTAATGTGCAGACTGATTTGTAATGGTAAGCTGTTAATATACTACTGTGCATACTGAGAGTGATGGCCATGGGTGAGGACAAAGGTTCCACAGGGCCTGGCACTGATCAGCAGGCAGCCGGGGGCCTGATAGGAGAGGTTAGAGGAGACAGAAATTGAAGTTACACTTTCTATCTGGATGATGTTGATGGTGGTACTGTTACTAAGACTGTGCCCAACGAGTTGTGTAATTAGGTTCTGTTGTTTTAAGTTGGGGTAAAGCCTCACATTCATAGTCCTGCCTTAATCTCCGAGAAGCTGTGATTACTTGTGTGATTCCAGGCCTGGCATGCCAGGATTTAAACACATCTGCTGAACTGTCATAGTCCTGCCTCGGTCTCCGGAGAAGCTGTAGGCCCAACATGCTGGGTTTGAACACACTTACCTGTGGGGACTGCTTAGAGGCCTTTGGAAATGGAGGTCTGCAGTTCAAGAGAGAGGTCAGAGCTAGACATGTACTAAACATAAATAGAGGGAAAACACAAATAGATCATTCAGATAGATACACTAGTTGAATCTCTGTAAGGAGATGAAAAGTGCCAAGGGAGTGTGTAGAGGGAAAATAAAGCCATCCCAACCCTGTGTTTAAATGGCATCTGTTTAAAACAGAAAGAAAAAAACACTAAGTAGACTATTTTATGTGGCGGGTAAGAATTTGATAATCTGTGTAGTTTCCTTAACTATAATTTCAGATGGAGTAGAAAAAAAAAATCTGTTCATTAAAATTCCAGTTGAGTGTTGAGATGACTCAGCAGGTAAAGGGGCTTGCCTACACGTCTGATGACACGAGTTCTATTCCTGGCACCTGCATGGTAGAAGAAAAGAACCAGCTTTGCAAGTTCTCTGATCTCCTCGTGCCAGCCCTGGCGCTCCCTTCCCCCCTTTGCTGACACCCCCTACACACACATACACCTCTACACACAAAATATATCTAATTTAAAAAAACCCAAAATTCCAGTGGACTGTGGTGTTGCACACCTTTAATGTCAGCACTCAGGAGGCAGAAGCAGGCAGATCTTTGTGAATTCCAGGCCAGCCAGAGCTGCATTGTGAGTTCCTGTCTCAAAAACAACAGTAATGGAAACCCAAAAACAAAGATAAGAAAATCCTCTTGAGGCAGGCTGGGGATGTAGTTTAGTTGGTAGTTTTTACTTAGCATGCCTGAGTCTCTGGACTGTGGGTTAGATCTCTGCCTATCTATAACTCTAGCACTCAAGAGGGTCAAGGACATCCTCAGCTACACTGGAGTTGAAGTTAAGCCCACATTACCTGAGACCTAGCCTCCAAAACAATCACCCCTCTCCACCGCCACCCTCCAAACAAACAAATAACAACAAAATCAAGACATAAAAATGTCTTGACTTTGCTATGATTGTTAGGTCACTGGGGGATCAGGCTGTCTGGCTCACTGGTTTGAAGTGTCAGGCTGATTGCCTTATAGCAGGATTTGGTTGTTTCCTTTGGGCTTGTCTGGTGAGTGAGGATTTGGAGGTAATTAATATAGTAGGGTTTTTATTTATTTATTTATTTATTTATTTATTTATTTGTGTGTGTGTGTGTAGAAATTTTCTTTTTATTTCTATATTAAGAACCTCTGATATTCAAAGGCATTACTTGTGCTTCTGATTACAGTGATTGTTAACACTGTACTTTGTAAAAAGTGGTATATACATACACACACACACACACACACACACACACACACACACACACACACAGAGCCCCCCCTGGCTCTTTTATAATACACTATTTTTGTGGTGTCTGATCAAGCCTGTGACCTCAGGCATGTATCTCAGATAGATGTACCACCAAGTGCCATTCCCAGCCCAATAGAAGTACTTTTTATTAGTATGAATAATTTCATTCAAATTCTCTGATTACCAAAGAGGGATGAAAGAATAAGATACTCATATCTATCATAGAATATATGTGAAGATTGTTTTACTTTGAAAACTTTTAAGAGCTATAAATCTGTGGGATTTCATGTCCTTTGCTTTTTTCTTTAAATAATTTATTTAATTTTATTTTATCATTGGTGTAAAGGTATCAGATTCCCTAGAACTGGAGTTACAGACAGTTGTAAGCTGCTGGGAATTGAACCC